CGGACCAGTAGCCTGACACCAGGTGCAAAGGAGGGATGTAGGCCTCTTGTGTAGTTAACAGTTATACAGAAGAGGGAACTGGCTCTGTGTGACTTCTCTAACCCCTGCATGACAGGTACACCTCCCAAAATGTCCCTCTTCTAACACAATAGCAGCTGCACTCCTAGTACACGCCTGGTGAAAGGCATGTATACAGCAGGGCATTTCTGACCAGATTTTAAAGGGACAAGTGAGCCTTGGCATTCTGTGTACCTGGTGATCCTAGTTAGTGATAACCACATCTTTAAAAAGCACTTTTATATTCAAAGCACTTTGTTCACATTCCCTCAGCAACCCTTCCACAACAGCCTGGGAAAGTAGGCCAGTGTTATAACCTGCATATTGCAAAAGCCAGAGATGAGGCTGAGAAGAGTGGTTTGTGTAAGACCAAACAGCAAGTGCACAGCAGAGACCAAACCTGAACCAGCCACTTTCTGATTCAAAGCTCAGCCTGCAGAAATTCCTTATTCACCCCCCTAACGACTTTGCTTTATGGGATTATTACAACCAAGTTTACTAACCAACCATTAAAAAACCAGTCTTGGCCTCCTTTGAACTGAACCGTGATCTGCAGAAATCAGCAGGTGATGCTTCTCATACCACAGAGATTATGAGTGTTACTAATGTCTTCACTTTGTCTCTGAGGGTAAAGGAACAAGAGGCAGTAAAACTTGGCAGCCCAAATTATAATCCTGCCCTGTCCCCATATTTCACCGGCTGAGAGACAGAGAGCAAGCATGCAGGTGGAAAGCATTTCCAGCCAGCGATGAAACTCTAGGACCTACTTCACAGGACTGATGTGAAGATAAAATTGGAAAAGTGGGACCACACAACCACCCTTAGCTACTTGGAAGAAAGGTTGTACAAAACACACACTAGGTATTTATTTAGGTAGACAGACAGCCTAGCCTGCCTGAAGAGGCATTACTTAACTCCAGGGCTTGGAAGCTTGCAGATCAGACCCCATCTGGCCCCCAACGGAGGAAGAACGACTTCTTCCTCAAGAACCACCCTCACCACCTGCCCCATAATTGAATCCAAAGCGACGTCACTCCGTCGCTTTGACGTCACTTTCTATTCTCTATGACGCCCACAGTCCCCTCCTACACTCTACCCGCCCCGTTGCCTTGGAAACGACCACCGTCGCCCGGGCAACGGGTGTGCCTATCCTGTCCCCCCTCCCATCGGCCACCGCGACAGCGTGGAAACAGAGGAGACGATTCGATACTTTCCTCTCACCTCTGGCTTACCTGCCCATACGGGTAACTAGCCGCCATTGACGCTTGCACAAACGGCCAAGAACCGTCCAGTCCCACCCCCTCCTGCTGACGCAAGCGCTGGCTCGCCTACAGTGTTCAGACTCGCCAACCCATTGGCTGTGAGCCTCGCACGGAGCCAGGGCAGATGTCTGTCAATCAGAGGCTTAGAGTGGGCGTGGCGTGCGTTGGGCCGAGCCCTGCCTCCCACACATTTCCTGGTAGAGAAAGGAGTGGTGGGTGGGTGGGTACGCACAGCAAAGTACCAGCCCATCCGCTTCCATTTGGCCAGCCCCTCGAGCGCAGTTGTCTGCGTTTTCTTTCCGTTCATCACAGCGATGTTGGATTTATGAATGGAGAAACTGTTAATAAATAATTATATAAAGGGCATAATGTGCTTCGTTGTCATCCATACAGTTAGTAATTATCACAAACTATGAAATGCGTATTAATGCTAATTACAGTGTTTATGATGCTTAATACCATTGCAAAATGAGCGCTGAGAAGACAGAGACAATGACAGCGGGGGGGGGGGTTGTTTTAAAATGACGAATTTGCATTCGTGTTTTAAAACGACGTATTTCCATTTGGGGTTGCTGTCAACCTCCACGTGGGGCCTGTAGATTTAGCATTTCTGCTGGTCTCCAGGCTACCAAAATCAGTTCTGGAGAAAATGGCTGCTTTGGAGGGTGAACGCTATATGGCACTACATCCCTCTGAAGTCTCCCCCCCCCCCCTCAACTGCCCCCTCCACAAGCTCTACCCCGAGCTCTTCAGGAACAAGTTCCTAAGCCAGAATTGGTAATCCTCTGGCATTATAGGCAGATAAAGTCCCTCCCCTCTCCAACCCTGCACATCCCAAGTTTCTCCCTAAAATCTCAAGGAATTCCCCATTCCAGAGTTGGCAACTGTAGCAAAACCATAAAGTGCTTAGATCAAGATGGGTAGCCCTGTTAGTCCGTCTGTAGCAGTAATAGAAAAGAGTAAGAGTCCAGTAGCACCTTACATACTAATAAAATTTGTGGTAGGGTATGAGCTTTTGTGAGTCACTGCTCACTTCTTCAGAGAGTCAGGATGAGTCACTGCTCACTTTTTCAGATATAAAGGACTTAGTATCCTTCCTTAGTGTGACTGCTGTAGTAGTGGAAAGTACCAAAAAGTCGCAACTCTTGGAGTTTTCAAGGCAAGAAACATATTGAAGTGGTTTGCTATTACCTTCCTCTTGCTATTGCCGTGGTCTTCATTGGTAGTCTCCCATCAAGTACTAAAGAGGGCTGATCCTGCTTCGCCCTTTATTTAATTGATGGGTATACTTACTTGGTAATTCCTTGTTTCTGTATTTTGCAAGTATTCTTCTATGCTGTGGTTGTTGTTGTTGGTGGATTTTCTGTATATGGGTTTGCAAGGGTTACATGCCAATAAAGGTAGACAATAAAGTCTCCGAGCCCTCGGGAAGGAGTGGTATATAAATTGAATGTGTATGTATGTATGTATGTATGTATGTATGTATGTAACTGGACTGGGCTGATCCTGCTTTCTGGTGGTGGGAAAGTGCCATTAGGTTGCAGCTGACTTGTGGCGACTCCACAGGTTTTTCAAGGCAAGAGATGTTCAGAGGTGGTTTGCCATTGCCTACCTTTGGCCCCGTCACACGGAAGATTTTGGCCCGGGAGAGGGATGGATCGGGGGCGCAGCAAACAGGCGTGATCTCACCGCAACATCTGGGAAGCGGTGTGCACCCGTCCCCAATCCATCCCTAAACCCGGAAAAGCTGCTGCAAAAAAGAACCTCCCCCGGTGTGGCAGGGGCCTCTGTGTAGCAAAAGTGGACTTTCTTGGTGGTCTCCCATCCAAATACTAATCAACCAGGGCTGATCCTACTTACCCTGTTTCCCCGAAAATAAGACCTACCCCAAAAATAAGCCCTAGCAGGATTTCTATGCATTTGTGGTATAGGCCCTAGTGTGTTTTCTTGTGAAAAAATAAATATAAGACAGTGTCTTATTTTCGGGGAAACACGGTAGTTTTCAAGGCCCGACAAGATGGGGCTAGTCTGGGCCATCCACATCAGGGCCTGTTTGGGTTGCCAGCTCTAGGTTGGGAAATACCTGGAGATTAGGGTTGCCAGCCTCTAGGTAAGGCCTGGAGATCTCCCACTTTTACAACTGATCTCTAGCTGACAGAGATCAGCTCCCCTGGAGAAAATGGCTGTTTTGAGGGGTGGACTCTATGGCATTGTACCATGCTGAGGCCCCTCCCCTCTCCAAACCCTGTCCTCTCCCGGATCCACCCCCAAAGTCTCCAGGTATTTTCCAACCCAGGGCTGGCAACCCTACAGTTTAACTGTTTCATGAGTATTCCTGTCTATCATTTGCCCATCTCCTGACCAATGTTCCCTCTAAGCTCCACAGTATTGTGAGCAAAAATTCTACCTTATGAGGAAAAACAGCTAGTAGCATTAAAGTTGTGAGCGAGTCTACATTCACTGGCAGCTTTCAAGAAGAGGCTGGACAAATATTTGTCAGAGATGCTTTAGGCTGGTCCTACACTGGGCAGGGGGTTGGACTAGATGGTCTGTATGGCCCCTTCCAACTCTATGATTCTATTCTATGACGATTGCAGAAATTCCATAACCTTGTAAAAATCTCAGAATGAATTCTTTTAAACTGTATTTAAGCTATATTTTAAGAATAATTTAAACATTCTAAGAGAAAACAGAATCAAATCAAATTTCATTGCACAATATGTTGTCCTCTACAGGGGTAGATCAGCCCTCTGGAGAACAGGTCTCCCTGCCCCTTTCCACTATATTGGTAGACCTGGCCTCCAGAGAACAGGTCTGTCTGCCCCAGTCCACTATGTTGGTAGACCTGGGTTTGGACCATTGCCTTGCACTGACCCTTAGAAAACATAACAGCACTTAGGGGAGAAATAACTCTTGTAGTCTATTTTGGTTTTTTTTAATGAAATATGACAACCAGCATTACAGGTCAAGTATAACAAGGGTGGAACAATCACTGTCAGAATGCTGCCTAACCTAACAAACAGGAAGTTGCTTAAATGTTATCAACCTGCCCAAACTACTTATTTATTCAAATATTTATATCCTACTTTTCCCTGTGACTCAAGGCTGCTTAAAAATAATACTGAAAAGCATCATAGGGGTGTGCAAAAAAATCGGTGATTTCCAGCTCAACGCGACTAGATACTTTTTGGCTGTGCTCTGTCACAGATAAGTGTTTTTAATGATTTTTAATTGGTTTTAACACAATGGAGGGCATCCCAAACTGTGATATTCCATAATGATTCCTGTTGTGATTGTCCTACATGCCTGGTCTGTGGAAAGAACTGTCTTGTATGTTCACAACTCCAGTGTCTGGATTTAAGTATACATGGATGCAGCCTTGTTGAGAATGAGAGTATTGATAAAGCATGTTTGAACTGTAGTGGGGAATCTGCTACCAGTAGGATTAGATAGTGCAGAGCAAGGTAATCCTGTGATCCAACATTGTTAAGACAGCTTCAGATTCTCATTGTAATGTATTGAAATGATTACATGAATCACCTCATAGGACTCCTATGTTAAGCTTCGAGCCAGACCAGGGCTCCTCTGAGCGAACTTCCTATTGGTCGCTTCGTAACAGCGACCAATCAGAACGATACCATTCCCTAGGAGGGAAAGACTCCCATTGGTCCTTAACTAAGCAATCTCATTGGTTGTTAATTGTAAATAGGCGTGGCTACATTAGCCCGGTTATGTTTAAAAGGAGCATAAGCTCCCACTGTTTTCTGTTCTGTTTCTTACTGAGTTTAGTGCTTGTTCGTTACTTCCAATAAAGCTGAATCACTTGCTGAATCACTCTACGAGTCCTTTGTTAGCGCGATCTAACAATTGGCGACGAGGATGGGATGTTAGAGCAGGTAGGCAGCCCTGCGGACATCCACACTTCGGACTCGGAAGAAAGCGAGCAGAGCACAGCAGCCGATCCGGCGGAGGCGCCACCAGCTCCGGTGCCCAAGTCTCCCCCGATGGCTGGAAGCCAGAAGTTCGAGTGCTTCGAACCCTCCTCAGAAGACTGGGACTCCTACCTGTCCAGGTTCGAGTTCCATCTGGAGACCCACGACATCACCGATGAGGCGAAGAAACGAGCATGCCTCCTGAGTTCCTGCGGGAAGGGGACCTTCGACATAGCCAGGTCGTTGGTGGCCCCAACTGATATAAAGACTGTCACCTACGCTGACATCACGGAGAAGCTTAAGGCTCACTATTCTCCACAACCGTCGGAGATCGCCTGCCGGCACGCTTTTTACAAGCGGAACCAGGCCGGAGGCGAGACCATCGCAGATTTCGTGGCGGCCCTTCGCAAAGCCGCACGGCCATGTAATTTCCACAACGTGGAGGAAGCCCTCAGAGACCGTCTCGTCTGCGGTCTCAAAGATGAAAGGCTGCAACAGAGGCTGTTCGCCCGCACCACCCTGACCTGGGCAGTGGCCTACGAAGAGGCCGTGGCCGCGGAAGCAGCGGAGAAGTCCACGAAGGAGGTCCGCCAGCGGGTGGCAGAGCCCAGTATACACGCTCAACGAGACAGCGAGGGCGAAGACGCGGATGATGACGTCAACGCGGTTCGAGGCAAGCGGACCCCAGCGAAGACTACCAACGTCAAGCCTTGCTCCGGTTGTGGCGGGAAGCACCAGCGCGGCTCCTGTTGGGCTCGTGATGTCGACTGCAGAGCGTGTGGGCGGCGTGGTCATCTGGCCAGAGTCTGCAGATCAGCGAAGAAGGATCCCTCAACTAACAACCGGTCAGCGCAGAGGGGCACTCCAGTCAGCACCCAAGGCAAGACCCGTTCCTCAGCATCGGAAGCAAGCTGCCAGTTGACGGCGACCTTGTCGAGCGCATCGGCCGTAAATCGCACCAGCAGCCAGGGCAAGATCACCGTGACTCCACTCCTCGACGGCCGACCCTGTACAATGGAGGTGGACTCAGGATCGTCCGTGACGGTGATTTCTGCCGCGTCCTGGCGCCAGTTGTTCCCGAACCGAAGCCGGCGGCGGCTCCAGCCTGC